ATAAACATTGAAACAGTAAAATACAACCATGAAGAGACACAGCCAAAGAGCTTCTGAGCTGTCACTTGTCTGGGATGATCAGTAACAGCCACCATTTTTAGAGTTAAGATTATTTTGTATTAATATAGATAACATTAACCTATGCTGCACTTAGGTTTATATGCCAATTTTATTTCTTTACATTCCCATTTATTTTAGTACTGTTAGAAAACAAAGCTCTCACCAGGTGAGCCTTAAATGTGCTATAAAATGCATGTAGTAGATTCATTTATGGAATACTACTTGATTTAGCAATCCACTGACCACAGCAATCCACAACTACCACCTGGACACCATGTTTAGTATGAGTACATCTATTCCTGTAAAGGCATTTTGGCTTTTACAACATATTTTAACAGCCTCCATTCTCTCTGTAGGTAAGTAGGTCTATTCACAAAAGCTTCTGCTTAGTACATCAGGTGACTTAGTCACCTTGCTTTAAAAAAAACAAACAACAACAAACAAAACCAACCTCAACCTAATACACAAATGGTGATATTAATACAACTCGTTTTCCACAGTGCTTTTTAATCTCCCCAGTGAGATTAATATCTGTCTCAACTAAAGGCAAATCACAGAATCACAGAGTATCAGGGGTTGGAAGGGACCTCTGAAGATCATCGAGCCCAACCCCTCTGCCAGACCAGGGAAAAAAACACACCAAACAACTAGAGCAGATCACTCAGAAACACATCCAGACAGGTCTTGAAAGTCTCTAGAGATGGAGACTCCACAGCCTCTCTGGGCAGCCTGTCCCAGAGCTCTGTCACCCTCACAGGAAAGAAGTTCTTCCTCATGTTGAGGTGGAACTTCCTGTGCTTGAGTTTTAGCCCATTGCCCCTCATCCTGTCACAGGGCACAAGTGAAAACAGCTTATCCCTGCCTTCTTGATGCCCAGCCCTCATGTATTTATAGACATTAATTAGATCTCTCCTCAGTCTTCTCCCCTCTAGACCAAACAGCCCCAGATCTCTCAGCCTTTCCTCATGAGACAGATGTTCCTCTCCCTTAATCATCCTTGTAGCCTCTGTTGGACTCTCTCAAGTAGATCCTTGTCCCTCTTGGAACTGGAGAGCCCAAGACTGGACACAATACTCCAAGTGAGGTCTCATCAGAGCCAAGTAGACGGGGAGGAGAACCTCCCTTGATCTGCTGGAGATGCTCCTCTTAATGCATCCTAAGCTACCATTGGCCGTTTTGGTCACAAGGGCACATTGCTGTCCCATGGATAACTTGTTATCACATGGCTACTTACCTGATAATGCTTCTCTGACCAGCAGCCACCTTCAGTTCCTCTCTGGCATGCTGGGTCCTCACCAGCCCTTCCCTTGGTGTTTCTGTGTAGCACCTTCCCCAGCTGAGGCTCAAGCCTGCCCGGCCTCCTAAGGACAGCCACAGAGTCAGGGCTTGGAAACTCTCCATCACTTCCACCAACTTAAGGAAACAAACCTTTTGGCAAGGGGAAACAATCTAGCTCTGTTTTTGTTTTTATGCTCGGTGTGTGAGACCATATGCAAGAAGTTCTGAGGGTGCAGTTTTACAAACACACGGGGTACGATACATGGCTACAATGCTTCTAGAAACACTGATGATTTCCCTGAAAGGTGGAGATGATTTCTGCTCTAAATATTGTATACACTCTTCCAAATGCAGACTCTTCCTGTAGCAGGACTGGGACAGAAGGAGCAAGAAGTGTTAAAGCTTGTGGGAGATGGTGGAGGTGGAATGGGTGATGAGGAGAGCACACAAAACATGTCTGAAGGATGATCTGGGACAACCAGAATGGGAGGGAATCCAGAAATACATGGCTGGTCAGGCCAGTAGCTTCAGAATGATCACCTGCCAAAGATACTAACATTACTTCAAAAAAAGTGATGGATGTAGACTCCTTGAAGGAGCAAATAAAGAGAACAAGCAACCCAGGCAGTCTGATGTGAAGGACAGAGCCTTGTGCACCAGACACAGAGGGCCCGGCCTTGGCACACCAACATTTCAAGCCACAGGGCTTCAACACAAACCACCTTCAGGAGCCCAGAATTAGCTGGAATTCTGCCTCATTCAGCCGGAAAACAAACAGTAGTTATCTTTATGAATGCAATAGAAATAACTTTATTTTCTACACTTTCAAGTCCAACAGGCCTGCTGAAAAGAAATTACAAACTCAACATGCAGGTTCTTTTGCATTTCTTGAAATGTGTTGAGGCTGGATATGAGCAAGCTCCCCATTTATTTCCAATTTAACCAAATAATGGTATTTTTTAGTACTGGTCACAGCTCTGCAGTTTCTTATCACCATTTTCTCAAGACAAAATAGAACAAGGCAACCTTACTTCAGGGATTAATTATCACAAACCAACTACATGAAAAAAAGCCCTCCCATAAAATAGATTGTACCAAATGACACATCTCTAAATTCAATAATTCTCAATGATGACGTCTTATTACATAAAATTATAATAGGGGTGAATTTTCAGCTCCACTGAAGTCAATGGTCACACTTCATCCTCAGACTCTATTCCACTTCTAAAACAGGGATAGAGGCATCAGTCCTCAAGAACACTGCACCATTTCTTCCAAATTAACACTAAGAGAAGCAAGTCAGATCTCAGCATATTACATCAGATGAACACAATTTTTTAGTTAATCTCAATGTTGACTCTTTTTTTTTTTTTAATCTATCTATACATATTTGAGTTCAAGAAGGGTCTGAAGGCCCAGGTGCCTTGGTGCTGCAGTTCCAGTGGAGGTCAGAAGGTGAAAGCACCGTTTCAGGATTCACAGGAAATGGTCATTTACCTCTAGTGGTCACAATAAGGGTAACTTCAAGCTCTATTCCATTTTCAGTCTTATACATACCTCATTTTTCCTTAACTGCAGTCCTCAAAAGCTCCCCAAGAGAAGCAGCATCAGAGAAAAGTCTAGTACACATCTAGAAGGCATATCAGTAACAAACAGTGGGCACAAAAAGATGGAGCTCTTCAAGAACTCTCAGTGGTGTCAAGTCTGCTTTGTCATTTAACAGAAACTTCTGGAGCACAGCAAGGCCATCCTTAAATGGTTTTAATCATCTTTTAGACTTTGCAAGTCATACTGGGCTTCCTCTGTGCCCATTTGCTGATTTTACATCACACAAAAAGGTTTTTCTCATTTATTTTTGGTTTTAAGCCATATGGGCATCACTGCTTTTCAACACACTGTGCAGGCAGAAAATGTTATACTAGCTGAAATTTCACTGGGTGGCAAGAGCAGTTTCCTCACAGAAAGGAACTTGTTAATGTTCATAAAGAACATTTAGTGTTTCTCCCATGGCAATAAGTTTAGAGAAGACATGGAAAAAATGGATTGCACAGTACACAGAAACTTCTCTGGTCCAGATAAACACACACCTGATACAATGCTGGCAGAAATATTCAGTGTTGCTGCAGAATAAGAGTAGATCAATACAATGCATCCAAATTAATAAAACATAAAATTACTTTTCAAAAATTACTGCCAAAGCTGTACTCTCTGTCAGTAATAGCTAAATCTGCAATGCACTTGAATCCTAAAATACTTATGTTTGTTTCACATACAAATCAATGATTAATAATATTGGCAAAGTGTTTAACATTAAATCAATCCCATGAATGATAGGAGATGTAGCCCTCAGAGGGTAAAACTCAATTTGATTCCTTTCTGGGGGAAAACTCCTACACATGTACTCTTGAATAAGAATCTCTCTTCACAGGCTAACAGGAAACTGTTGATTCAAGGTAAAGACTAGCTCCTGTTATCCAAGAAGATAAGAAACACAACTTCACTGGCATGGTTATGATGTTGTAATACATTACTGAATTACACAACAGTGTCAGATCCCCACATTCCTGTAACATGCACAACTTGACAGGGACACAGACTAAGAATGACAACGTTCATGTATCAGATAATAAAGTGCTTCCATAAAGCATCACAATTTCCTGTGTTTCCAACAGAAGTATTTAGGAAAAAGCTATTAAAGATGTTAACCTGTGAGCTGCTGCACCATAAACAGTCAGTAAAAATGCAGGAATATGATATTTAAGTCTTCCCATACAATTTTGCAGAAAAAAATTGCAACAAAACCCAGCAGTGGTACCTCGTGTCTGTTTTTTTCTTTAGCATCATCCTGAAATGAGCTATAGAATAAACTTCCCCAGCTCTATTGTACTTATGTGCATTAAAATAGCCACTCTTTTTAGACAAAGGATAAGGCTTACACCAAAAAAACACTGTGCCACTTGGCTGCATATCTTTGGTATATTTATAGTGCAACTATTCTGTTTCATCTCTAAAGGGGAAAGTTTTCCAGAGCACTGCCTTCTCTGCCACTGAGAACCTACTATGAACTCCTACCTCAGACCTACTGCTTCAAAACGAATGAAGAATGTGCAGTGAAAATAGTTTCTTCCTGTTTTTTAACTCTACTACTGAAACAAAACTAACCCATGCCAGATTTCACATTAGAAATTAACAGCACGTTTCCATCCTCTTGCAAGAGCTGAGGAGCATACGGATGCAAGCATAAATTTCATGGCAATTTTCAATGACAGATATCCAAGGTGCTATTTGAAAACATTTGTAATTTAATTATTGTTAATCTAGATTTAGTCAACCTTTGTCTCTACAAAAAAATAAGTCCACCTGTTTTTCATTTTGCTCAGATACTCAGAATTATCCAGAATGCATAGAACGGCTAAGAACTACTTAACTGAAATATATTGCAAGCATGTCTTTCTAAACTTATATTGCTAAAGCCTTGCTGTATTGTAAGTTTTATTGGAGTTGGCTTTTAAACACAGTACCATGTATTCACACAAGCCTAGATATATACCTGTGTCTCAGGCTGCTATTTGAGCAGGCATACCAACACACAACTAGAGCACAGATCACCCAGTGGCAGTGCAATAAAACGTAGCGCCGTCCAAACGCCATTTAGCGATTGCTCAACTTCTAAACAACAACATCCTTTCAGAACAGCTCTGTCCCACCAAACTTGCATATTGCTGAACAACGGCCTCATCACTTGGCCCCTTCCTTCTTTTCTTATACACACTGTAAGGCATCATGATCCTCTTGTGAAGCACTGTCACTCTGCCCAGTTCCTTAACACGACCTTCATCAACTGCAAAGAGAACAAGGAAGAGCAAAAATTAGTTACGTATCGTTGTCCATATCATCCTTATTTAGGCAACTAACCTCAATCTGCATAATGATGACTGTATGAAGTAATGAAACAGATCTGCAAATGAGTAGCAGATGAAAGCAGAGTTGATCTACAGAGCAGTCCTCTTGAATAATGGAATTGTAAGTAACTGTATTTGTGGTGTGTGAAAAAAGAAATCACACATCACACATTTCTAATGGTGATAACACAGCCTGTCTGAAAATACATCCACTGCTGTATGTTAAAACTGACATTAATTTAATGCTGGCTGGAGCCCACTGCCAGAAGTGAAACCCTATCTGGGGAATCCTTTCAAACAAAACCAAGCAGAAGAGACTTGCTGGTATTACCATACTGCACTTACTTACAAGTCTGTTGGCAAGACCCACCAGCACAGAACATTCCTTTACCCCAGTAGTGAAAAGTGTATTAAAACCAGCCAGCAGCCTCCACACTGTTTGCCTTAAGTAAATAAGCATCAGGTAGTAAACTACCTTCCCAGGTGAAACTCCTTGGCCCTCCAGCACCCATCTTTGCCCCCCTCATTTATACCATTTTTCTGAGCTTCTCTAGTGGAAAGAAGTTAAACACATACTTCAGATCCCTGAGCTCTGCAGACTGACAGAGTCAGCACTGCAATAACTAGCTAGGTGGGCATGACACAATTCCTCAAGCTGTCACAGATGCACACACCATAGCTGAATCTTATTAAGCTCACCTATAGACCCCTCATGACTTAATTAAGTCAGAATAATACACATAAGAGCATTGTTGAACAAGTTAAACCTTCCTTATTTTTATGAATCCAATTGATGCCACTGTTGCTGAATAATAACGTTATATAAATGCTGCATTTCAGAGAAACTGGCCCTACAGTGCTAGAAACCACTTTAAAGAAAGTGAGGGAACATGCCACATGCCTGAGGTGCTTGCAGGGTGAATTAATACAATTACTAAAAAATACCAGTAAAAGAGATCTTGCAGTTTTCTGAACTGACTTTTCAAGCCACCAATGTAAGAATCAACTTACACACAGAAGATGAAATATCAGTTTGAGAAGAAGCCATATAAATTCAAATAGTAACAGAGATGCTTAATAGGAGGTCAGCATCTGGCAACAGAAACTGTGCAAATACCTGATCCTTTTTTGGCATCAGGATGCTTTCCTGACTGAAGAGACAGCACAGGTAATTACAGTTGCTCAGCTTTAACTACTTCATCAATGTGCCCCACATTAAAATTATTTTATATCTTCATGTACTTGCTTCATTCATGTTAGAACATTAAAGTTTCCTTTGACAGGGTCTGAGTGATGTCCACTCAACACCTTTCCAACACCCACAACGAAGCCACCTGCTGATCATCAACTCAAAAACAAACCAAGTGCTGTGGAAAAGTAGCTAATTCAAATAGCTGCTTCACAGGGGGCTAGGGGGGCAAAAGTTTGCCTTTTTTAAATAATAGAATAAATGGAGCCAGAACTTTCTCAGCATGTTTCTCAACTGGCAATAGAACCAAAGGACATAACATCAGCCCAGGGAAGCAAACTGGTCACCAAGTCGTATTGTGCTTTTTCTTTTTACATACCTGAATGTCACTAACCTTGTCACAGGTAAGCTAAAGCAACTTGTCTGGAAGAATCTCAAAACATCTTTAAGACAAGTCTCTGTTCAAACATAGCCCCCACTACAGAAAAGCTTAATATTCTTGATGCTTTAATAAAAACAAAGGAGGTTATGAAATCCCTTTTCTTTGCAAGCTGTTCTGAAGAACCTGCCCCTATTCATCCACAGAAACCTCATAAACACCTTTCTGCTGAATTTAGTGTGTGAAACTTAACGAAGGCTGCTTGACAAAATTTGGAATGACTTCATTGCTTTTATCTATGTTTTGATTCCCTAACATGAAAGCACAATGTATTTCTTAAGACTAAACTCGGAAAATGTGGTTTGAAGGAAGAAAATCTGAATAGTACTTGCTAAGATTGCATTCTCTGCTGATTGTCACTGGCAATTGCTGTAGATACACACTCAAGTCAGAAACATTTCACGACCTTCTCTCCCTCTTTGAAATCTGTTAGGTTTTTGATGAGTGGCCAACATCTTTATTATATCCCAGGTTGTCTTTACTAGCAGCCTCTTCTGCTACACAGTCCTGAATTCTGCCCGTTCACCAAGGAAAGGTTTGCAAGCTCAGTTTCTGGAGGCGACACAAGTGTAAAGTTATTTTAACTTCTTAAATTGGAAAGTTTATATTTGCTGCACCTCTAGGCTGACACTGAGTTTGTGTGTTGAAATGGATTTAGGCCAAACCTAGAATTCATACTCTCATGCCAAAAGCACTTGCAAAGCTGTTCACTGCTCACTGTTTGATACTCGCTGCTTTCAAGTCATGGTGAAGCCCGATCCTCTGGATGAGTTCATCTTTTGGCTTTTTGTGTTCCTGGCCCCAGATTCATTTTCTTACAGTAACTAAAGCTACTGTACCTTCAGCTTCATCACTGCCTTATGGCTCAGCTGAACTCTGCTCTCTTGCTTAGCATTTATGTCCTTACTCCACTTTTACTCATGACATCAAGAGCAGTTGGTGGGTTATTCCCTTGCAATGAGGCTCATGCCAGGCCCAGTTCTACAGACACATCAAACTGTTGTTATGATGAGGGTTCTACCAAATTTGTCAATCACTACAGCCAAACATTTTCTGGAGAGAAGTCAGGCTTGCCAAACCCTGCTGTAGACCAGGTCCTTTCCTGGACTGTGGCACAGGTTCATAACAACCCTCAGGCAGGAGAAAGATCTTCCAGACCGATCAAGAAAATACCAGTATCTTGGAAAAAAATCACAGTAATATGAACACTTTGGACATGTTTAAAGCTTAACACAAACCCAGTATAAACTACAGAGACCTAGTAATTAGTTTATCATCAGGAAAAGCCTAAAGCCAGATACCTTTGGTCTCACAAACTTACATTTGATTGACTGTATTTATATTTCTTTTACACATTAAGGTTGATTCCAGATTCTTCAAATAAGATTTGAAAGGCAGTAAAATAATACTCCAAGGGCCAAAAAAATTACCTGGTTCAGTGAACATTTTTTCCATTGACTCCCCCCAAAATAAAAACTTGAATGATAAAAATAACCTTCTGTAAAACTACTTAAATATATGTAATTTAAACACCATCTGAAAAAGAAACCTTTTACTGAAATGTTAAGGAGCAGTAAAATAATCTTAAGTACATAGTTAAGCTTTTAGAGAAGGGGAATAGGAACTTGTGTCATCACAATAAACAAATGTGTTAATTAAAATTCAGCCACCTTTCAATTGCTACTGCTCTGGAGGCAACACAATGTGCATTCAGGGAATGCATATGTTGTTTATTCATTATTTAAACCTAAGCAGAATAGATTTAGGAGAATTTAATCGAAACTAAAAGCAGATCGGGCTCCAGCATTATCTAAAAAAATAAGTTATCCTTCCCCCCAAAAAAATACTAAATATCTGCTCCAGCTGAGTGGTACATGATAAAATTTGCTTTATACTTAAGAAGATGCCAATGATGTTCTGACAGGCCTTCTCTGTGTGACTGATGCTGAGATGCTAGAGTAATCCCAACACAAAATGAAATAATCTGCTGTATTAAATAAGGTCACTTGTTGAAAATTAGAAAAACATCTCTATCATTAATATTATTTCAGTTAGTGACTTCCATTTCAGGAAGGATCTAGACTGATCATAGTGGAACAATATGTTAGGGCTTCTTTAATCATTACTACAATTACTGAATGCAGTATTGTTACCATTAAAAAAGCTTCTTCCTCCTGACACTTTCTCATTTTATACCTCCTGAGTCTCCCACTAACCTTTGCCTCACAAGTAGTTGGTGTGTTAATTTATTTAACCCTCAAAAGAGATAAAATCATGGGTTTGAAGTCAAAATTGCATGATTGTTGGATGCCTTATGAACTAATAATTTATAGCCAGTTAGCTTTCTAAGTGTTTCTTCTTCAGTCATCACCCCTGTCCAGCTACAAGACCAGACCTTGCACACCACGGTTTCAAAGACTGAGCCACGCAGCTCATGTGGTAAGTTGCTTCTTAAGGATATTGCAGAAACCACCTCCTGTAAGGCCACATTTTGTTCATCTAAGCAAATATCACTGGGCCTTGGAGTATATTTTTATGAGTTTTTTACAATTTTTTACTATTTATCTATTTCTGTGCAATCTCTCCTGGCACCACTTCATCTTTTATCATTCAAGATGACACTGCCACTTAACATATAAAACCTACAATGTGTTATCCCCCAATTCAGTTACATCTATCAATATAGCTTGGATGGCAGAGAAAAACAACCCTAAACTTCAGAAAAACCGACTCTGTAAACAGAAAGTCCCTGTTGTTTTAGGAAACTGAGCAACTGCAGATGCCAACCACCTTTCTTCACAGAAATATCAACCTGCAAGTCTCCACGGTAAAAATACAGCTGAATTCCTGTTGAATAATTTAACTGTCACCTTCTCCTCTTTATTCCTAAAACACCAAACCATCTATGTGGCACTTGTGGATTAAAATCTGGATATGGATTTCATCTATAATTCAACCTTGTCACCATGATCCCACAAAAAAATAGCAAAAATTGCAGAGTCAAAATTCTTGGTTCCCACCCCCTCATCACTATTAAGTGCAAGTCATACCTGAAGGATTTATTTTCTGTTGCTAAGTATCAGTAAAAACAAAGTAAGAAGTGGGAGAGACCTGAAGACCCTCCATGCAACGGTTTGTCTTGGCAGATGAGAGGCAGAATTGGTTTGGGTTCTTGGCCCAGCCACACACCTGCACCTCCATCAAAAGCACAGCAACACTGCTGAGCAACGCCGAGAAACAAGCTCAAGGTAACAGCAGTGATCTTCAAAGGCAGCCTCATCCAGCAACCAGCTCCAGAAATACTTTAATAC